TTACCGACCCTGATTTTCCCATTCATTGAATTGGCGGGAAAATTAATATCATTGCTTTCGATGCTGTTATTATTGTTACTGATGTTATGATGATTGAATTGTCATTAGAATATTTTTGACAATAAGATGATACAAAAAACCCTTTCCGAAAGTGAAGGAAAAGGCTAAACAGGTGAAATAGGTAGTTCTTGATAACTGGCTATTTGGTGATTAAGAACTTGTAGAGCCATCTATGTGTAAATACAATAAATAAACGTGTATCAAAGTGGGTATGGCATCTATTCTTGCCATCCGCGGCGAATGGGTTAATGAAAACTATGATTACGACCATGACGACGATTGGGGCCTCTATGAACTGTACAATCAACTATTAACTGCAATTATTCTCTACTGGGTAACATTGCTCATTTCCTGTTATTCGGTACTGACAAGACTTAGATGGGGAGCCAGACCCTAACTATGACAACTACTTATCAGACAATAAGCTTTTACGTTAAGGAAAACCTAACCCTATCCAGTGATAAGCAAACCAATACAAGATAGCAAGGATTAAGACAACTGAAGTTGTGGATTAGTCTAAGAGCATAAAGTCTACAAATTCTATGCACAAGTTAGCCGGTCTTCGATGTCCCCTACAGGATACTACAGTTTCGCAATAAACAATTGCACACATTTCAACAAAAACACCCTTAACAGCTGAATACAAGTTATTTACATCATTGCCATGTATATTAGTAAAAACATTGACACTGAAGCACAGGTTGAACAGTTCAACTCGAACTGTTAAAAATATTAGCCAAGGTGGTCAACAGATTTACCCACTTCGACATTAGCGTATTATTTTAACAGCTAGATGTAATTTTTATGCTCTTCAGTACATACCTAATGGTGGCTAATGGTGGCCTCCTGCGGCCACTATTGAGTGTACCTCTATCAACTTAATGGAAGTGTCATAACCTTGCCATTTCATGTGCTCACACGCCTTACCACAGACCAATTACAACCTTCCATATTGTCTAGCATCAATATACCCCCACTGCACTTTTGATTTACCAATCATATCCTTTCACTCTTACACTTCCAAGCTACAACTGTTATACATTAAAAAGGACATTGGGCACATTTGTGCTAAACCACATGCCAACCCACAAGTTCCTCAGTGGCCATACCAGCAACACGCATCTTAATATTAACTTCCTGACCAAGTGCTCCACCGAGAACCCTATAAAGTTAAAAGATTAATACAATGCTACCAAAATCAAGCCATTTAATGCTTTCACAAAAAAAAAAAATCCGAGTAGAGCATAGTTATCTAAACTATTTTTCTCACCATCTATCACGTCACCATTCCTCCACAGTGAACAGATGGAACAAGATAAAACTTCCCCCTAAAGCAGAGATTGGCCATGCACATGTTGCTGAAGGGCACAGATGCTATAGACATCACCAATCCAAGTTCATGGCAACCTTTAACATCCTGTTTCATAGTAGGAAATTGACCCATCTACCAGCAGCCACATGCCTATTTACAGATTTAGATGGATCGAGGAAGAGCCTTGCATGCTACCAAGTGATGAACAATGTCCAGAAGGTGGTGCTCTGTAGCGTGGTCCCTTGAGGTTAGGTTCCACGGAGTAACAGCCCTAGGAAGACTTTGCTTTACACCTCCCACTCTTGAGCATCGGCCTTCCAAGCGACCTACATTTAACCTTTGCTCAAGCAAGGCAACAAATCTCACAGCCAGATATATCTGGCACGCCAGTCTGCTCCTGGCGAGTCCAATTTTGGCACGTGTTAAATAACTGTCCTATGGTAAAGGATTCGCCACTACATTCGAGGCATTTATATCATTAGAAGAGTCTTTACATACTATTTAATAAACACCAAATGTCACAGCATTTGGGTAAAAGTAATTTAATAAATCTTCCCACTTTTGTGTCAGGGTGTAGAGAATCATGGTAGTGAAAAGGGAAATCGTTCATACTGGTTATTGCTTTAAAAATCAGGACAAGTAAAGTAGACAAAAATTATAAAATTTTATTTGAGACACATCGAAGTATAAGCCCTTGTCGAGACCGGTTAAGGGCGACGGTCGCTTCACGACACTGAAGAGAAAAAAAAAAATTGTAAGGATTAATTAATTAGTCTAAATTCTTAATGCATTACATTTGGTCTATACGAAAAAAAAATTACTAACCTGGACAGAAGTCGTCAGGGATGTCGCACTGACCGAAGGCATAGTTATCATCCTTATCTCCGTGGTCCTCCACGCACTTGCCTACACCTGGAGATACGATATCCCACCTGTAGCTCTCAGGGCAGCTGTAACGCATCTGCCGTAACACGCCACCAATCATGTAGCATTCAAAGTAGTTCTGCTTGTCCAGAAGGTCAGGGTATCGGCCTTCCTGCTGGCACACGAACTGGTACATGCAAGGATCTTCACATGCATCCTTTTGTTCGTTGTACATCATGCCGGTGGTGCACACGAACGACTTCTGCAGCCATCCACTGCGTAGGCTAATGCACGAGTAATATTCATTGCAATTACTCGGGTTGGCAAAGGTACCCGCCACCACGCATGGAGGCAGGCCACTCGCCGTCTGGCACTGTGCCGAGCCTTCATCGAACACCATACCATCTGGGCACTTGTAGTTCTCGGGGACGGAGCCCACATCCTTGCAAGAGAAGAACCTCTGGGGGTCGTAGGGGTCCACTCGGAACGTGTTGGCACTTACGCAGGTGCATTCCGCAGGTTCATCTGGGTAGCAGACACCACCGCCAAACTGGGGCCTGTCCGAACAGAAGTGGTCCTCAATGCAGTGGCGAGTGAAGGCCTGTCCCTTCACACACTGGACCAAGGTCTTGCAGTTGGCGCAAATGAATTTGTCAGGCTGTTTCTCACACAGCTTCGAGTAAGGGTGGTTGTCTGCAGTAACACTGCGTTCGCTTCTAGCGTCCCTGGAAATATAAAGAGGGGTCTTATTCCGTTTCATGGACCCAATCTGCATTTAGGCATCTTATGGAGGCAGTAATTGTATTGCAATGCAAAAGTGGCTACTTACTCCTTGGCTGCAACAAGGGCTACACCCAGGGCCAGCTGAAAGTAAAGGCATTCGTAGAATATCGGGACGTTACAAAAGGTTTACTCAAGTGTTAAGCCATGCCATTTAGTATATGTTTACTGCTACATCCTTTGACAAATTTTCGGCGTTATCCAAGGTGCCCATTGAATACATGGGTCTGGCGTATATATTAAGAGTAGCTTGTAAGCTGGGCATGCATAATTTAAGCAGTATGCAAGTTCCTTCCTAGAACTAGGGAAACTCAAAATGGCCCACTCGATGGCTTAGCTAGTGTCCGTTATTATGTAACCAATATTAATCCTCAACACCACGTTAAATAGAAAATTCTGAACGTGATAATAATCAATTCACGATCAAGTATTTATGGCTATCCTCCCCTCCCCACTCAAACACATTACGTAGCATACTAGTTCTAGTATAAATAAAAACATTTTTGCACGCAATTTTACACTAACAAAGAATCAGAGACATTAAACATTCTATTACGATTAACCAACTTTTTTCACCAAAATGCATTACTTACCACAACAAAGAATGTATTCGACCTCATCTTCGATTTGTGTCTGACAAACAACCGTCTCCTTGGCTTTTTATAAGTTTTTAAACAAGGAATTTGTCCTTTTTAGCGACACGACCGCCATCTACGAACGCTGAACTTTTAAAGAAAACGGATAAAGTTTTCATCATTGGTATTATTTTTGTGTGTTTGTTTCATTATACACACACACACATACACACACACACACACACACACACACATGTGTGTGTGTGTGTATATATATGTATATATATATATATACACACACACACGTGTGTGTATATAAT